TTGATCGAGAACGACTCATTGGGACCGCCGCCAAATCATGTGCGTTCGGACTAGGACATTCAAACTCGCAGTTATCGTTCAAAAGATAATGATGGTGCGAAATATGTCTGGGTTTTTGAAGAAAATGCTTTGTCACAGAATAATAGTCTGTTAAAGGTGCCAAGTATGAAATAATTTGGGGACAAAAAAACAAACCTGCATAGAAATCGGAATAATAGGTCTTTTGATTATCGGAGACGCATTTCAATGGACTTGATTACGGACAATGCATAACTTAAATTTCACCAGGAAATTTCGCAGTGTGCTCTCGCAATCGCGTACTTAGTCATTTTTACAAGGTTCGCCATTTTTGATGTCACGTGATAATTATGTAAACAATGTCTGTCCAGTTTGTGCGAACTTGCACCTCTATACTTAGTCTTTTGATATATATAACCTAAATTACTGTTCTGAACGAGACAACAGACAGAGAATGTTTTATTTAAAAACGTCACAAAACCTTCTCGCTACCTTAAAGCGGGAGGGTCGTCACCTGCGCACGCGCGAGAATTGAGTCCCAAGCGACGATAACAACACACGCTAAAAACGCAAAGGCTCATTGGTCGACGCTTGTTTGTACACAATGACACGCTATGGCCATCTGACACATACGTAGGTGACGACTCTCCCGCTTTAAATACTGTGCAGTTTTAGAGAGTCAGTCAAACATGGAACGATTCGACTGCTTACTTACCTTGACCGGAGTAATAATCCCATTAGCCACAGTATGGACAATATATAGATAAATGTGATATTGGAAGAAAACAGATGACAAAATGACATAGCAGATTAAAAATACGGTAGTCCGAGCTATTAGATCACTGGATTAGCAGACCACTCATTTCAAAATTACAGTAAAACATGTTTAAATAGCTACATGCCATTTTAGCAAATATGACTCCATGCATGCATTAACTGAATCTTAAAGTGCCAACAATCTCATTGTGAGAATATAGTTTAAATTTTTTAAATTAGCGACATCTTGAATTAGCGAAATTACAGATTAGCTAAATTAGCTAAAATAACACACTAGCTAAAAAGACGTGTAGATTTCCATTAAAACATGAGATGCAAGTATGTGATGCAGTAGACCATTTTCCGTTCACTGAAGAATCACGCGTTGTGCGTGAAATCGAACGTAAAAACAGGACAAACAAAGGTCATAGCGTCGTAGTCGCGTCAAACATCGCGTGGGACTCGACAAACGCGAAAATATTTGGGGGGCATTTCCAAGTTTAATAATGTGCTGTACACATTTGATGATAGACAATTTCGATTAAGTGAGGGTATTCGAAAGCAATATTCTTCTGTCGAAGATCGGCCGGTCGATGTGAGCTACGAAATGGGGAAGCAGTTAGTATGCGCAACCCGAATTAGCTCAATATGTAATGTGAATGTGATCAATGCAGTGTGAATGCAAAATAATAATGGGCTGTGTGAAAGTCTCACTGTACGTTGCATGGGACTCATAGCGACGAATATTAAATTTGAATAAAAAAAAACATAACATTTTCCCGTCTAATCTATAGATACCACACCTCAGTAAATCAGTCTCGCATGCCACTTATTTCTCACGAGAAAAAACGCTGGCGGGAAATATCCAAGATTGTAGACAAGCATCCATGTTGTTGAGAAACAAACATTGAAGAATGGACGGTCAAACTCATCCGTGTAAGTGCTCTGTGTAAACTGAGTTGCTCCAACTCATATACCGATCGCGATCAACCATTTGCAAGTCGTCTTGGATATGCATCTGTTATCTGATATCATGATGACTTGGATTTCTTCATTGTTCGCATCAGAGTTTGTCACCAGTCGGGCATCACTGCTATAATCAACCTCTGTGGGAGGAATCAAATTCGATTAAAAGCCCACTATGCCTTCCCTGGGATCAGACCAAAGTAGTTTAGATTGCTAGGAATTTAAAGTTATAAAAACATTGTTTGGTAATACAGTAGATGGTAATAAATACTCCAATATAATCATTATTGTGATTCTCATAACTGTGATTTTATAAATCTTACAGTTGAAATATTTGTCCACCTGTCCAGGACAGGTAAATTTAGCTAAGACAGGTTAATGTGCAAATTGCCTTTCCTAGTGGACAGGTGAATAAAAATATCAAGTTTTATCCATTGAGATCCTCATAGACTGTTTCATATTTAATCCAGAAAACACCATTTAGGGCCAGAAACACTATCTTGATATATTTCGATCACAGTCTGCTAGGATTTCAGGATTTAGTGGGATTTGTAAACATAAATTTTTTTCAAAGTCATTGACATATATTTCTACTGCTACGTAAATTTGTGTTTTTGCAAAATTAAAGAAGTTCTACACTTCGGTTTTCGCGTCACCATTAAAATTATTGCTACCTTTTACATAACACAAACTAAATGGTCTCTATAAAGCTTTATTCAGGATCGCAAAAATGTCAAATCATTTGAAACACTTAAACAAGGGCGATGAACAAAGGCTGGTCCGGAATCTTGTTCTTCAAAAAGTGTCAGGCTTTCAGTTTTCAGTGCAGCTCTTTAAAACATAGTTGTTCTTTCATAAATGAGGACAGTTGTTCGGCAAAAGAATCGGAGGTAAAATGGACACTCCGACCAACATTTTCTCGTTGCATACATGGCTTTCGTCCACTGATGCTCACCTTCGGATCGATTGGAAACGTGTAAATACCTACGATGTGGCTATACGTATTACTGCACCCGCCCACAACACAACGCTTAACCATCATACATGTTTCTTGTGAAAACAACTTCGAAAAACTCTCTCTCAAAAAAAAATGTATATCGTTGAAAGTATGTTGACTGATAGAGTGTTATTATGGCTTCCTCACATATTTTGGCATTTGGTGGCGCACTTTAACTTCGACGAGAGTCGTAAATCCGGAAACAGCCGACCGTTTCAAAATAGGTGGGCGTGGTTACAGCACGAGAAATATCTGAATTTACTTGGATACGAGTAATCATTTTCTGCACACAAAGTCAATTAATGTCCATTTCAGTACACAAATCTAAAACGGGAAACGTATGAGTGGGCATTTTACATATACTTTAAAAGGCGGTGGTCGTCGCGCAGCGCGTGTTCGAATTATTTTACACGCGTTGTATACGTCGCTATTAATCCCATATCGAACAGGATACGGCGAGACGACCGCCGCCCTTTGATCCCAGCTTATCAAATACTATCAAAGTCATGAAAAGTACCTTCATTCTAGAAAGCCCCTTATGCGACTTCAGATCCACGAATGCATTGAGATAGGGAGTCCTAAAGAAACTTGTTGTTTAAACGGTCACCAGGTCATGAAGCACGGACTTTGGAACCGTAATCATTGCACGGCCGTACACGATGACGATGCCATTCACCCTTGTTTTCAGGTAATTTTAATTATTCTGTTAATTATGTGCCGGGAATTTAAGAACGAACAATGATATCATAATCTTATGTAGTCAAAACATGTGTTGGAAGTTGCATGTTTGCAACATGGTCGTTGGATCAAGGACACGGTAAATGTTTACTATCAAACCCATTGTATTCAGTTTTTTTTTTAAACCGTGGTTCCGATAAACAGAGTGATGAGCGAATCTAGCCTACTCAAAAATGACAATTGCCACATATTACTTGCTTTGCGAGTATTCACGTCCCGAGTTTACCAGAAATCGGGTTTTCTTCGCAAGTTCTGTAACTTGAACTCCAGCAAGTGCCGTTCTTATTAACATACAATGCGATTGGTAAATCACGTCACCCTATCGTGCTGTGCAATCATTCATTACACAAATAATACGTGTTGTTTTGTCAGTTAGAAAAACAAAAACAATTATAGTTTATACGCGAACTCCTGACGAAGTTAAAAGTTGTGTACCGTGTTAGTGTAACCATCATTTGACATCTGTCTCGGATGTTACTTAATTATTGTATCTACAATGCGTAGTGCTCCAAGGTCGGCATAAATTACACCGTGTTCAATTACAGACCTTAGAAAACATTATACGGCAACACAAGATCTGATTGTTGGTGATGACCCTGGCATGACTTTAATGGTACCACGCGTATTGATTTTTGTCTCTGCTTAAAGAATATGACGCTGAGGGCGATGTTAAAAATCGAACAGACTGTTCGGCTGATAGAACGGATTTACGAACATGTAATTCGGTTGCCATTTTCTGAATAAATAAGGTTGTCTATGGAGGGCATTTGGACAGATATGCAGCTGAATGTTCAATTACGACATTTCACATTTTGAGTATGCCGACTGACAAATACACGCGAAATAACCACACAACAAACCTGACGTTGATAGGTAGGTACCGGGGGATACTTGGCTGCTGTTATGGTATAGGTGTGTAGCCCAAATTGCAAAACCCAGAGCCCATTTAGACCAAATTGGACAAAAAATGTATACCCCATCTTAGACCAAAATGTTGTCTGGTAGACCCCAATTTAGACACGAAATACACAAAAAAGTTAAAATGGTGTTTGAAAAAATAAACCCCTTTTTAGACCCACGTCCATTTGACAATCAGTCATTGTGGACTCCATTTTAGACCAAATCCCTAAATTTTGTGGATCCCATTTAAGACCAGATGACTGAAAAAAAAACACTCCAAAAGGCGGCACATCCGCGTAAGGTAAATTGCAGCGAGTAGCCCCCCTCCCCCGGGGTAGGTACCCCTGAGCATGGATGTACTAAGTACATCTTAGTACATCCATGCCCTGAGAAAGGATGAATACATTTCGCCGTGTTTCCAAACGCAGCAGAAATGTTAAACCAAATTCACGTAATCCCAATAATCACTCTAAGCTCTAAATTGAATTATTTATACGATGGTGAATTCCTCCATTTAATCGTCGTTTTCTACTCTCCAGGTACCCACTCCGGGCATAACATTATACACCAAATCACGTATTTTCTGATATATTTTATCAACAGATAACAACAGACAAGAAACTCAATGATGCGAATGCGACAAAGGGTGGTTTTTCTACTGGTGGCTGTTGTATTAGTTATAACCGCTTTTCAGGTGGGCTACTTCGACAAGAAATGGTCGTTGTTCCAACGAGAGACACTACAAGATGTTACCGCAGAATTACGCAAATTGGGACGTCCTATTTTAAAAGTGACTTCCACTCAAGTAGTATTAGACAATGACGTAGACAATGAATGGCTGAAGATCACTAAATCTTCGGAAACTCACTCGGTAGAATTCGAAGAGCTCATTTCACAGTCATCGGATCCGAATCTAAGATTTTTCGCCGGGAAGTCACTTCCGCCATGGCTTTCAAGGACGGATATTATGCGGATGAATATTATGTCCCAAAACAAGGTTCTCGGCCTAAAACCAATCCCGTTTCGGGATAAGATCACGCGAGTTGTGTACGATATCGGCGTTTCATACCCAGAGCTGAATATGTCCAAAATCAACTGCGACAACCAGTGCGCCGTCGCCAAAACCGTCAACGACACTTACGAGATATTCGCCTTCCACCTCGATCGTGTGCTCGGCGTGAACCGATCTCTTCCGATGATTGCCAGGAACAGATTCCCGAAGCTAACCGACAACCCAAATATTACGATCCACGATGGAAAAGTGCGGCCGATTGTGTGGTTCGAGCCAGGTCTGCTGCATGGCGGGAAATACCAAGGAGACCAGAACTCGTGGGACCTCAGCTTCGACCAGTACCTTCGTCTTTTAAAAGCAAGATGCTGGGACGAGCTATTCACCAACATCGACCCTTCCATATGCCGTGTACCCTACCGTTTGATAGAATGGACTAGAATGGCATTATTCGACTTTCTTCTGCAGGTATTTATCCTTTTCCATCTCTTCGATACTGAATATATTATTTGCATTTCCGTCACATATTAATGACATTCACAGATAATATGACATACGCTCAGTCCGTTGCAACCCCCCAAAAACAAATTCTACAGACTTTTACTATTTATCATAATTAAAACACACCACTAATGATACACCAGGTTTTGTGAATGTTGTTTATGAAAATTCATAAATATTTATAAAACATTTATCTCAAAAGATCTTCGCGCTTCATTCAAATCCAAAAAAGATGATTTCATTGGTTGTAGAGACCACTCGATAACCCCGTTACCATCCCGTTACCGTTACAACCCCGTTGTCCATCATTTGCATATTCAATAATACATAGTTAATTGTTTATGACCTTGAGTTCTATCAAGTCAACATGTTGCATTGAATGATTTTGTTTATTTGGTGAATTTGTTTCACAGTTTTTTTAAAAAAATCTAATAATCGGCAGTCGAAGGTCGACAAAACGCACCTACCGTATTTGTATTTGGGTTTAAAACACATGTTCGGGGCCATGCTATCGTGCACACGGCCGCTGATGCAGCATAAAAAATCTGTCTAGGACCGCTCTTTTGATAAAGATTCATCTCAGCAGGCTGTCACGGTGGACAAACTTGCACACCTCCAAAAAACAAAGAACAAAATAAAAAAAAAACAAAAAAAAACATCATAATAACAACGACGACGAAAATAACTTCATTGAAAGTTCACTCATTTCCTTTTTCAGAACTATGACCGATTAGACAGATTTTGTTGTGGATACCATAACGTGAGTGAAGGCGAACGTTGTTTTCTGGAACATTATAATACGGCATGTGATGAGGACCCGGACAAATTGATGCTTGTCCATATTTTTGGAACTATTCTCAATATAGACCGTCTTGTGTTCATCGACAACGCTGGGAACCCTGGGAGAAATATTGAGCAGCTAAACTACAAACTATTAGCTGGAATTGAAATGTAAGTACAATACTTTAACCTTCTCATCGTTTAGTTTCTGCCATATTTATATATAAATTTTCTGCTATTTCACCAAATTTCAAAGTTAATTTTGATCGTATCACATCCTTAGAAGAATTAAGAAAACTTGAATAATGTAATTGAAAGAGGGTGATGGTCGCGTCGCGTCCTGTTCTATATGGGACTCATATCGACGTATACAACGCGTGTAAAATACATTGTTTATTTACATTAAGTTTGAACACGCGCTGCGCGACGACCACCGCCCTTTGGATCAAAAACGTATAACTCACAACAAATTTACTGTCAATGATAATGTTTCAAGTATCCCCGATCCCAAATGCAAGAAGTTGTCAGTAAAGTTTAAAGACAGTTTAACAAAGATTGATTTACAATTTTATTTGGAAATTGTTTTTTCTATTGAACTACAATACCCACATAAAGCACCCGGATGTTTGACCCATAGGGGTCACGTTATGACGTCTAACATTTTTCGACCGACATCAAAAGTCAGAGATTTACTCATTCATGTATTAGTCAGTTCCACAAAATATCTACTACGATTGTTGGTATCTGAGCTATATGGAAGCGTCGCACTCGTCTCATAGCGTATTCGAATTAAGTGTGAACTTACAGACAATGTATTTTACACGCGTTGAATGCGGGCCCCGTATCGAATATGGTGTTTTAATGCGTGAGGATCGTCACCTGCGCACGCGCGGTAATTGAGTCCTAAGCGGCGGTAACAACACACGCTAAAAACGCAAAGGCTCATGGGCAGACGCTTATTTGTAAACAATGACACGCTATGGCCATTTGACACATGCGTAGGTGACGACCCCCCCCCCCCCGTTTTAAGCTTTACAGCACTTACATGCGATGTATTATTATAACTTAGATCTTCAATTTGTAAATAATTATTTATTATAGGTTTCCTGAGCACTGTATTGCGATTATCCGATCTGGCTTACTACGAAGAATGCTAAAGCGTTCATTGTACGTAGACAAGATATACTGGGACAGTACAGGGGAGCAGCAAATAGATATGCTAATAGAAACTATTGAGAAAAGGGCGGTTAAACTCTTAGAATTTATCAAGAAGGAGAACATAACGACAGTGCCGGACTACTGAGAGGACGAATAAACCGCAAACAAAATTGTTTTATATTATATGATATTTGATTACGCTGTATCTATTTACATCGCATGGCAACGTAACGAGATTTGCGCCCTCAGACTACGAGTTGCAATGACGTATGGTGCGAGTTTTTTTATATATATATTGACAAGTGTGAATGTTCCGGTAATAAATAATATGTCTTATGATTATAACAGCGTGTACGATTAGTATTTCCCCTGTATGAACTGAACGCATTATTTTACCCCTATCATTAAACTTTCCGAAAGCTTCAAACCACGGTTCCGGGTGTATAACACGAAAAATGATCGTCATATTTCAGTATGCAACGAACGCTCAAGCGTGATACATAAATTCAATCTTTTCGACAATCAGAATGCGGAGGATACTGTATTTATTTTTGTCGTACACAACCATGATACATTTGTGCTGTTAGTTTCCATGTTGGATGAGATTTCAGCGTACTAGTAATTTCCGCGTGAACACGACATGAGAGCATGTTTCAAGCAGTCATTATGTGTTCTCAAAATAACTGTCAATCACAGGCTTAATCCAAATTCAAAGTGTAAGTGATATGTTGTGAACTGTTTGTCCGACCGCATATTTTGGACTCTGGAAATAGAAACGACATGGCAGTGGTGGATTCAGATTCGTATATCTTAAACGAAGCTTGGACCCCCCCCCCCCAATACATTTTGCCGGATCCGCCACTGTGACATGGTGACAATGCAAAATATGAACGAAGTTTCGATAAGGGAAGGCAAAATGTCACTAAAAAGACGAGCCAATTAGTTGTGCATGCCTCGGCATCGACCTAGATTCAATCATTGGCGGCTGTAACCCGCCTGGCTGTCGCTGTGGCCGTCACGATGAACCACACTTGTGTCACACAGTCATACTACGAAGTCCTGGACTTCTTTTTTGTTTTGAGAATTATTTCACCTGGCTTCATTGTTATCGTCCTCGATTATGACAAACCAATAAATTAGTTGTCCATCAGACCAGTGTCTCACACTCAGCTGACGTACAAGTGGTAATCGGGTAAGGTTATTCACATATAATAGTTATAATTGTTGTGCCGTCAAAAATTACCGGATATTATGTAATTTTTTTTTCACACAAAGCCGATATTTTTGCCTCGAACATAATGTTATTTTGACAAAAAATAACTTCTTCCATAGGGTTTTTCGGTAAGATTACATTTTCTCGATGGGTTTATGTTTTTGGTTTGGGCGATATACTTCTGTCCATTTGCTATTTAGTGCGGTGGTAATTTGTAAATTCAACCAATTTACCGACGCTTACCTTTGAATCTGTCTCGGATATAACAAAAACACAAATTAAAAATTGAGATTCCTACAAAACAGTGAACAAATCCACAATTTTTCCCGACAAACGATCTATTTAGCCAACAAAATTCGACCAAATTCAGAATTTTGGCCTGGAAATATCCTCTGCATACGAACACCTAATTTTAAACAGAATCTAGAAAACGTTCCCGTGATATCAACTCCTCTGTATGACGTCACGGTGTTTTCACGGCCATTCTTTAAAGGGCGGTTGTCGTCGCACTAGACATGCGCGAGATATGGGTCTCATATCAGATGGTGACTTTGACTGTTGCGCAGACCAACGAGTTTAAATTGAGATGTTACTAAGTTTTAAATAGGTAATTTCTTTGGGGATTGTAAGATATCGAAAAGTCAACAGCGGTTATAAGTACAAGTCGCGACCAGGTCAAACCTCGTACTCGTACCTCGATTGAATTAGAAGAGCGCATTGGGTTGTGGGAAAATAAGTGTTTGTCAACTCAAATGTTAGATATGCGCGGCGCATCGGCAGCTCTTTCAAAATTGACCGAGTGCACCCATAAATCATTTCAGATTTTCAAGCACGCCACCAACGGCAGTAATTAGTTGAAGCCTGCGGGATACGGATTTTGCATATATAAACTTGTCGTGAGTGAAGCGAATAAAATATATAATTTCTCACAACGACTGCACAAATGGAAGCAGACTGGATAAACTCGAATAAATAGGCATGTGTAAATAAAATTTACTTTTCCATAATGACCAGAGAGGACAATGACCAATTGAGCATATTCCACCAGATAGAAATACAACTTGACGGACTGGAGTCGCATGCCAAGCCACGTATAAGTACCAAGGGTTTCAACCTACCGCCCATCCCATCCCCATTTATAAATTCCATCCTCGTATACACCTGTTTTATCAGTTTTTCGGGTAAATACTTTGTGTTGCCTACAGCCTTTTGACAAAATGTTCCACCTATTCTCCGGGGCTGCATCGGGTGACCGACCAAACTGAAAACGAAATATTCAGTATACTATCTCTCGTGTTGGTGACGATTACTTATGCAGCTCGGTTTAACATCAAAACACGTACGAACATCCAACAACCGATGAACACTTTCTGTGGCGTGATATCGCAGAAGTTGAAGTGCGAATTGTGATCATATTAACGGAAAAAATTATGTGTGGTAGGGGTGCAATGATAAGAGTAAATACGTAAATATACAAAGTTTGAACAAATTACATTTTATTCGAAACATCATACTTCATGTAACTGGGAAAACTAAATAGTTTATCTATTCAGACGATACAACATAGTTAACGTTTTACAAAAAGTGTCATCACAAATTGTTTCAAAGATCGGAAATATAGTCAAATCACATCTCTTTAACGATTATTGAATGCAAAGTACAAAATAGTGTTATATTTCTATAGTTATCAAACAATAAACTAAACCCGGCGAAAGAACAGAGAACATTATCCATGCAATATCGAAAAGATGTACAATTTCGGTGAAACAAAACAACTTTTATAAAGTAGAATAACCATATATATATTCGAGACGCAACCGACTGTTTAAATCTCGTTGACAGCGAGACGAGACTTGTTCCCTCAAATAGAGTTCCATTACTACCGTTGACCTCATCTATTTAACCATAGTAAATGCAATGACGTGAGAGAATAAAACAGTATTTGAGACGAAAACAAGTCACGTGACTCTCCAGCTGTGAACAAGATCCCAGTGCCGATTTGATTCTCAGGTCGATTTGTGTTGTTGGCGTGTTCACATATCACAATCCCCCCAAAACACTTTATAAAAGATAGCTAAATATTTTATCTTGCCCCTTTCGAATCTACTAAACAGAAAAAGAACTACTCGTTTCGACAAAGATTTTTTAACAACTTATAATTAAAGCGGGGCAGTCGTCACCTACGTATGCATCATGTGGGCATAGCGTGTCATTGTTTACAAACAAGCGTATACCCGTGAGCCTTTGCGATCTTAACGTGTGTTGTTATCGTCGCTTGGGACTCAAGTCCCACGTTTGTCCGCCATATTGTAAAATCTCCCAACTCAGCTATGGTACAGGCGAGTTAGAAGAGTGGCACACTGATTGGCATAATTAGTGATTCGGAAAGTATCGTTCCATTTTGAGAAAATATAAAATAAAAGAAAGCAGTACAGCAGGGATAAATGGTAATTAATGAAAGCTGAACACTTAAATTCTTTACGTACGCGAATTATTATTCATTGTAGAATTTGTCTGGCCCTTGAACAGGATCTGTTGTTAAAGAACCAGGCGTGTTGGTTGCTCCCTTACTTTCATTCCCCTCCGTATTATCACTATTTTTATCACCAGATTTGCCTGGCTCTTTAGCAGTATCTGTTGTCACAGGACCAGGCGTGTTGGGTGCTCCCTTACTCTCATTATTCTCTGTATTATCACTATTTTTATCACCAGATTTGTCTGACTCTTGAGCAGTATCTGTTGTTACAGAACCAGGCGTGTTGGTTGCTCCCTTACTCTCATTATTCTCCATATTATCAATATTTTTATCACCAGATTTGTCTGACTCTTGAGCAGTATCTGTTGTTACAGAACCAGGCGTGTTGGTTGCTCCCTTACTTTCATTCCTCTCCGTATTATCACTATTTTTATCACCAGATTTGCCTGGCTCTTTAGCAGTATCTGTTGTTACAGAACGAGGCGTATTGGTTGCTCCCTTACTTTCATTCCTCTCCGTATTATCACTATTTTTATCACCAGATTTGTCTGGCTCTTTAGCAGTATCTGTTGTCACAGGACCAGGCGTGTTGGGTGCTCCCTTACTCTCATTATTCTCTGTATTATCACTATTTTTATCACCAGATTTGTCTGACTCTTGAGCAGTATCTGTTGTTACAGAACCAGGCGTGTTGGTTGCTCCCTTACTTTCATTCCTCTCCGTATTATCACTATTTTTATCACCAGATTTGCCTGGCTCTTTAGCAGTATCTGTTGTTACAGAACCAGGCGTGTTGGGTGCTCCCTTACTCTCATTATTCTCTGTATTATCACTATTTTTATCACCAGATTTGTCTGGCTCTTTAGCAGTATCTGTTGTCACAGGACCAGGCGTGTTGGGTGCTCCCTTACTCTCATTATTCTCCGTATTATCACTATTTTTATCACCAGATTTGTCTGGCTCTTGAGCAATATCTGTTGTCACAGAACCAGGCGTGTTGGTTGCTTTCTTACTTTCATTCTTCTCCGTATTATCACTATTTTTATCACCAGATTTGTCTGGCTCTTGAGCAGTATCTGTTGTTACAGAACCAGGCGTGTTGGGTTCTCCTTCCCTCCCATTATTTCCCGTATTATCACTATTTTTATCACCTGATTTGTCTGGCTCTTGAGCAGTATCTATTGTTACAGAACCAGGCGTGTTGGGTTCTCCTTCCCTCCCATTATTTCTCGTATTATCACTATTTTTATCACCAGATTTGTCTGACTCTTGAGCAGTATCTGTTGTTACAGAACCAGGCGTGTTGGGTTCTCCTTCCCTCCCATTATTTCTCGTATTATCACTATTTTTATCACCTGATTTGTCTGGCTCTTGAACGAGATAAGGCGTGTTTGGTGCATCTTCACTTTCATTATTCTCCATATTATCGCTATCTTGGTAATTTTCTAGTTGTTTAATGATGTTTTCAGCGTGACATAGTTCAGTTTGCAGTTCGTCTTTCTCTGTTTTTGGTGCAATCTCCTCCTCCAATATTTTTGATTTGAGGTCTTCATTTTCCAGTTTGGCCTGTTCAAATTTATGTTCCAGTTTTTTGATTAACATGTCCCTTGCATCGAGCTCTTTCTTAAGAAAATCCACACGTTCTGTCAA